CTGGCTGCTCCTGGTTGTCTCGGACGGATCCTCTTGTCAGTCTGGAAGCCCTTTTCCTTCCTCTTCTTGTCCTACGGTTGTTAGGCAGCAGCTTGTTGAACTGGTGGGGCCGATGATGATTGGGCAGGGGTAAATGGTTAAAGACGATTGTGGTTGGCCTCCCTTCGAATGCTTGCGTTCACCTCTTGGGCTATAGTAACTGCACGGGCATAGGACTGGACTCCATGGCCTATAATGTTATGACGGACTACTGGCAAAAGCCCGTCAGTGAAACGCCTCGATCTCTTTGCCTCTGCGCTCACCAGATCGGGAACAAAGGCTCTATGTCGAGTGAATTCTCGCTCGTACTCGTCCACTGTACGAGTACCTTGTTTGAGTGCCAGAAATTGACGTTCCAACTCTGCTCGATAGTACGCGGGATAATATTTCTCGCGTATTAGCTCCTTGAACCTGTCCCATGTACAACCTTCCTTTTCACCGAGACGCATTCCCCAGTAAGAGTTCCACCAGAGACGTGCGTCACCCGTTAATAGGATATGTGTGCATAAAACACGATAGCGGTCGGGACAGTTCATGACCTCGGAAATCATTTCAAGGCCCTGAACCCATTCGTCAACAATTCGAGGATCTCTCTGGCCATAAAATTTCTCCGGGCAGTAGTCACGAAACTGTGTGACTACGGTGGCTTGGGGAACCTCCTAACGATCTGGTTCTCTTCGTGGCGGCATCTGAATATTGGAAATGTTCAATATCATTAGATTTAATAAGAATACTTTAACTGATTAATAATACGCATAAATCTCTTGACGAGTTGCTTAACATGGCCTGGAAATACTGACATTGAATTATGGATACACTGAACTATAAATCCTGAACATGACTCGAGCATCCTAACTAAGTCATAACTGTGAATTTTAATGAACATAGACGTAGTAATTTGTTTAGAATTTTGAAACATGAATCAGCACTTACCTGTCGGCGGGGCGTGAGCATGACAGGTTCAGTTTTTTCAAAAATTTCTGACCTGTAAAAGTATTCAGAGACGCAGAAACGTGCTCTGATACCAACTGTAACACCCCGCTATGTCATAATTATCAAGAGTTAAATTTCCCAAAATCTTTTTCTAAAATATTCCTATAAGTTTGTGAAATCGTGATTCGGAGTGCAACCATAATCCGTTACTTTGCTTTGAAATCCGTTTATAGTTTTAAGGAAAACGATTTATCATAATATAAACAATCCGACTGATAATCGGACTAAAAGGCTAAGTTTGACAAACATGAAAAGTCAGCGGAAGTCGTAGCGTGGCAAAACATGTAATTCAAACTACAAGAGATAGTAACAGCACTGCTATGCCAAATTCAAACATATAAACAAAATCCTGAACCGCCCGCCAGCTCACACCTCCGGCTCACCTCTATGACCTGAAAAATATAGATAAACATGGGGCGTGAGCAATAAAGTCCACTGTGCTCCGTAGGAACTCATACTAAAGTAAACAGTGAAAATAATTGCAATATCATGATCCTGGTATATATATAAACATAGCATGATACCGGTAACCATTGCCATCACATGACCGTTGCCTCATAACCGTTACCTCATCTGCCTGTATAAAATGTCGGGCACCATGTGCACACTCTAGTGGGCAAACTAGGCCACTAGAACCCAGAATGGACCGGCGACCATTCCAAGCGGATACATAACATAACATAACATGATACATACCTCAAACATGGTAGAGTAATTATAATCAAATTAATACCCAATCTGAGTCCC